TACAAAACCTTAGGCTTCCCAAAGCCAACCCGGGTATAGGCGAATAAAAATGAGTTTTATAGTTTTAGGTTTTAGCACACTTCCGCCAAACGAGCGCTGTAATTCCATAAATCCTATGTATATACAGTACCTGGGTCTCCCAGGACACACACCGACGTCTACTCTTCTCAAGCAAATGCGTTATACCTGGACTTCCCTAAACCTATGCTTCCCAGTTTGGCCGAATAGGTAAGCTTGTTCATCGCTCTACTTTACCACGTCGCCTGTGCCGTCTCTAGTTCGCCCAATCCCCTCTGGCCTTCATCCAGGCCGCATTGCTGGATCGGGGTCAACGGTTGCTCTTCGCCATTCCCCTTCACTAGGTGGGCAAATATGCCTCGGGAAGATACCATGACGCACAGCATGTGGCGAGTGCTTGCATTGCGCAAGCTATGTTTCACCTGCTGCTGAGTGCTTCCTCGAAGCAGTCACCGAACCTCGGTGCCCCGTTTTAGAGCGCGCCCAACATTTGAGGGCTTACCTGCCGACTTCGACCCTTCGGGTGCTTGTCTGTGGTCAGGTGTTGTGTCGTTATTCCTCTTCTTCCACTTTCTTCTGAGAGGCATCTGGGCTTGTGCTCCCGACAGCTCGCATCCGCCTTCCTACAATGACCGCCAATATAACGGGACGATCTAACCTGATGGCTTCGTCAAGCGACTTGCCGGTCATGACACGCCTCTGGAGGTGGGCTACCCTAGCTCGCTATATCATTCTATCTCCGCCTTTGTATTCTTCAGCACTATCTGGCGCCGTCTACGGCCACAATGCCCACATACCACAGCCCTCCCCAGACGCCCGCCCGCTTTCCCTTGCATCGTACCCCTTTACCCCTGTCGACATCACACTTCCACCCCAGCTCTGCCCGGAACAGCAACACCAGCCTCGGCAGCAAGACACCCAAGCATAGAAGCCGCAAGGACGACGACGACTCGCAATACAAGATCCCCTTCGTCTTCCTGGGCTCCATAGCGGCCGCTTCATGGCTTGCCCACCGGTTCTGGCCCAAGGGGTTCCCGCAGGGCGAAAAGGAGGACTGGGAGCTGTCAGACCACGCCAGGCGGGCCAAGCAGCGGCGCGAAGCGGAAAAGGCTGAAATGAGCGCCCGCCGGGCCGACCGTCGCAGCAGCAGCATGAACCGCAGCAACAGGGAGCCCTCGACTGCGTCCGACGCGTTTGGCAAGGAGGATGCATTGCGAGACTACGACAGCTACCGTGACCGTGAAGGAGAAGGGAGGGGAGGGTATTACCCCTCTTCCAAGTCTAGAGCCACAGCCAACGAGGACAGGGAAGTGTACAAGTACCGCTCCCAACCTCCTTCCCCACGCCCACGCTACAGCAGCCGGAGCGTAGACGGGTATGGCGCTGCCACCAACAGCAACAGCCGCGGCGGCAGCTCCTCATCCCGTCAAAGACACCCTACCGATGTAGACTACTCTCCTTCCGCCCCTGCCCTGCAGGGGCGATATCTCCTACATGACCATCATGCGGCGTCTAACTTCGGGCAGCCGTCTACACGGCGGTCCTCGACAGCGAGATCGACCTCACAATTCGAGAGGGGGCTTGAGAAGGGATTTCTTCTGACTGGGGTGATGACGGGAGGATGATGCTGATGATGATCACTGTGGTCCGGGCAAAGCTCCCTCTTCTCAATCCCTGCACCTGTGTTCCCGAGAGGCAGCACGTGGAAGGTCGGGGGTGGCTTCGATTGATGCTGGCCGGGGTGAACCTCGAGTGAGGCGTACAGAGTAGGTAGGCTACGATTGTGGTTATTGCCAACGGCCGTTGGGTCCGGCCTGATAAGAACACTGTGGCAGTTAATGAGACACTGTCTTTTGTCCACTTGAGTAATGCGCATGTGAGCATACTACTTACAGAGCTAGACAAGCTCATTCCCCACAGATGGTCATGCACTCAGTCCAGGGTGGAACTCAATGCAATCAACAGACACCGGCATCATGAGATCAATGGCTTCAAATTGCGCAAATATGCTAGTAGCTTATATGCCCCTGCCTGCTCTACCAGTCTTTTCAGTTCTATGAGGATCAACCGGAAAAAAGCGGCCCAAAGACCCCAGTGCAAGATACCAATAGACCAAACGTGGCCAATCTAGGTCAGTTCGTCAGCGCTGTCATCCTCCCGAACTACCATCTTCCGCTTCCTGCTCTTACGAGCAACCCTTTTCGGTGTCCTTCTCGGAGACGAGTCCGACATTGTCTTGGGAGAGCTCTGCAGAGACTCTTCCTCCGTCTCCAATCGCGCCCCATCCTCACCAGACTTATCCCACCCTACTCCGGCAGTTTTGGCGACCAAGTATGGGTTGAGGTCGGCTTTGAACCACTTTTCACCCCGCGTGGTGCTTCTTGAACCACCTTCCAAGGCCGACAAGGCCGCCCTGGTGGTGCGCATTCGCTTTGAGCCGCCGCCTTCGCTCACCAGATTGCTCAATCTGAGCCGCTGCTTCTGAAGCTGTGAATCGTAGGCAACAATGCCTCGAACATACGGCGCCACATCGAGTGCAATGAGCGTCAAAGTACGGTCAAAGACCGAAGGCTCTAGATACGGCCCCGACTGAAGTGGGCCACCGTCGGCGGCGGCAATCGGGTCGAAAGCAAAGGAAAAGTCCATGCGATCAATTGCTGGGGCTCCGGGCGGAGTGAACGAAAAGCTCGTTTGCATGTAGTCGATGATCCTATCTTCATCAAGGGGTTGAAGCGCAGGCTCCGGGTGACCTTGGAGCTTCTCGGTGGAGTCCTGGAGACAACATCTTGCAAGAGACTTCGTGGTGAGAGCAATCGATGTGGCCAAAGAATCGTAATGTGTCACGGAAGGGGTATCGAGGTGTGTGAATCCGAGGACATAATCCTCTTGAGTCTTAATGGGCTGCTCGGGGTAGGTGGGATCAATTCCTGCCTAAAAACAAGCGACACCATCAATCAGTCTTTGGTCACACTCGCGTCACAATGTCAGGAACTTACCCGCTTGAACTCGGCAAACGAGTGGCATGAAAATATGTCTGCCGCACTCATCGCCTCAACCAGATCGTCATAAATTACCAAAGTACGCAACCGGCCGCCTGGGGTAGCAACAGCCTGCTGCAAACCCTCAGCCCATGGCTCCATTCCAATTGAATCCTGCCAGTGCCCGACATCAAGGCCCCATGACTCCCAGGCCTGACTCATAATCTCCTCTTCAACAAGGCCTGGAGTAGTTTTGGGGTCGACAATGCTGTCTCGCCCTAGAAAGTTCATTCCAGGGAGGTAGGTTCCCTGGCTGACGACCCTGACGACCCTTCCGCTCTCATCAAGGTCAACGCCCTTCGGCCAGCGGGGATAGAACCAGTCAAAGCCGCCCCTACGATCTCCCACTCCCATCTGGCACCAGTACTGGAGGTCCATTGTTGCAGCTCGCAGATCGCAGTTGCGAGAAACGTACAAATGCTCCGCTGCGTGTCGTGTGATCGCATGCCCTTCGTTCGCTGCGATGAGGATTAGACGATCGATTGCAAGGTCTCGTGGTGGGGTGCTGAATCTAAAGATGCCGTGAAGCCTCAAGGTGTGAAGGGGCACCAGAGTTTCGTCGTTGCAGGTCATGATGAAGGGCCGCTTCGCCTGCGCAATCAGGCTGACAATCGTCGTCCAGAACTGTTTGTCCTCTTCGTATAGAATGTCAACCTCCTCCAGAAGGATCAAAGACTGTCGCTGGGCTTTGGCGGGCTCTTTCTTCGTTTCGTTTTGTGGTCGATGTGCTGAGGCTTTCGTCGACTGCTTCGGCCTGACAACGCTTGGTTTTGTGCCGCCTGGTTTGGGCTTGAAGAATGCATTCATGGTGGATTGCTTGCCTGACTTGATGTCGTTGGCAACTTCATCTTCCGCGATCCGGTGCTGATCGTCTTCCGCACTAGCCTGTTGATGCTGCTGGACATGATGATTCCTTGTCATATCACCAATCTTTTCCAGGACGTCTTTTCCGCTTCTTCGGCTGCTTGAGTTGATCTCAAAGACCTCAAAGTCCAGCTCTTTTGCAACCGCATAGACTGCGGCGGTCTTACCGCACCCGTGCGGGCCGCTGATAACCAACGTGTTTGCAGTCCTGTCGCCATCCTTTCCCTTTGCATTGACGGACCTGACGACCGTCTTTCTGAGAATGCCCCGGCTGCCGCTGGGAGCCCAGCTGTCATCCTCATCTGACAGCTCATTCAGCTCGTAGTCCTCGTCTTCACTAGAGACGATGAATCCATCCAGCTTTTTCCGCCGCTTCTTCTTCCCAGCACCTGCACCTTTTGCCTTTGACCCAGTCTTTGAGCTTTCGGTTTCCGCCGGGCCTGTGTCTACCGACTGCACCGTCAACGCTTGAAGCCAATCCTTCAGAAGAAATGCTTCAGGTCCGGATTGAAGAACCTCGGCAGCGCTTATTGGTGCATATTTGTGAGCCCAGTTAGCAGTCTCACACTGCGATCTGTCGAATGCGGATAACGACGTAGCGATCGAATCGAATAGGCGTGCGAGTTGTCGGGGAGCCTGGGCCTTATTTTCACTTCCCTCGACTGGCCGCTGGCCCTGAGTCGGCTTCTTCTTGAACAAGTGGGGCTGGAGAGTTCTGAGTTCAGGGAGTACCCGAATCTGTAGCTTGCTTCCGCTTTCAAAGTGTTTCTGGGGAAGGCGAAGCTCAGGCGGTGGAGGAATGATATGATCGGTGTAGATGTTTCGAACGGATTCTGCAATGGCCGGGATTTCCATGGACTGGGTGATGAGATTGAGAACTGATTCGGTCTGTGGAACTTCTACCGCATGGCCCTTGGATTTCCGGGAAGGGAGTGATATTGACTGATCTATTATACCTTCTGCCGAGGGCTGCTCACCACGCACATGCACCATGTCTTGCCATGGCCATGCTGGCAGTCTGGCGCCAGGGAATTTTAGCCCAACATTCTTGATGCCAAATTGAGGCAGTAGACTCCTCGAAGTCAGGCTGGTGCGAGACTTCCTAGGTGAGCAAGGTGTCGAGCTGTATCTCTTCGTTCCCAGCCGAGTGGGAGACGAAGTTGGCTTATTCATTTTGTCATCATGAGGGGTCGAATCGGTCTTCTTGGCCGGACCCAAGAAGAAGGGATGAGTCGCCTTGGAGGGCTTTGAGACTGGTTCTGGCTTGGCAGGCACAGGAGACGCAGCAGCTTGCTTCGAACTTGCCGGAGCACCAGGGTGCTGGTTGTGCAGGATGCCATTGATACGCTCCGCTATCCTTGTGCGAGACTCCGAGTCAGTCCCGTAGGCAATGCGCACAATCTTTGATAATGGCTTCCTGCCACGTCTTTTTCTCTCGCCATCGCCAGCAGGCTCTGTTCCTAAAGACTTGCGCTCTTTTGGCTTTGGGGGCGAGCCAATGGTGCCGGTTTTTGGGTTGAATTGCAAGAGCTTTTTTGGTTTTGCTGGCGAGCTGGCTGCTGTAGCCGGGAGCACCGCAGCCCGCTCCGTGACATGGTCATTGCTTTCGGGTGGGTTGCTTGTGGGTTGTTCATTCCCTAGGCGCTGTGCATGTGGAATGTCGGCGCCGGGAGCGGCCTGGTTCGAGGAGTCTGGAGTGATCCCACCTGCCACGACCGAGGTGTCGGGAACTGAAATCTGCGCTGTATTCTCACTCCCGCCTTTGAGCTTCACAAAATGACCGGCAATGCCTCCACCAACTGATTGTCTTGTTCGCTTCCTTGGTCGTGCTTTTCTCTGCTCCTCATCACCATTCAATTTTTTGTCCGCTTTATGCCGTTTGAGAGGGCGCGTTGGCGAGTCACACACGGCGTCTCCCTTCGATTTGTCGCCTACTGTCGTGTTATGGCGCAAGTCAGGATCGTCCTCGGTCACTGATGTGCCATTCACAGCGGGCTTGACTACGGTTGGCGTAACTGGGCGATTCTGTGCGAAGAAAGGATGCAATGGCCGTCGAGGAGGAGCATCGGTCGGAGCGGCGTTCTCGGCCATCGCGAGCACCGCTAGGGAGCCCATGGATGGGGTAAGCCCTGCGACCGCAACCAATTAGCCTCTGCTCTATTCCTAAAGGTCTCAGTCTTGGGAACGCGATTGAGAACCTACAACACAGCGATGTTCAAAGCGTGTGCTAGAGTTGCGCAGGGAGAAACTGTTGAGTTATCATGATGCTGGGAATATGGCACGCAAGGCAGCACTAGGGGGAATCCTCTGGGGCCAGCAGAGAAAGATTGGTGAGTTATCAATGATTATCTGTGGTGGTAGGTTGAAGTTATTCGCAAAAGATCCAGTTGAGGTAAAGAATCTGAGTATTGAGTATGTCAGGTGCGGTGCTGTAAGTTACTGTATCATGGTCGCTCCTGCACCCGCGACCTGCAGCAGCAGCGCGTTGCACTATAATTGAAGCGCGTCTGGGTCGCGCTTCGCAGGATGGAATTCCCGTCTCTGCTCCACTTGCATCATCGAACCAAAATTGGTTCAGCGCGGGGCACTTTGCCAGCGTGGTGGATCTGGGGCTGGCTCGCTGCAGTGGGATCAAAGATAGCCCGGACACGGAGTGCCTTCGTATCTACCTCACGGCCCCACCATGCGCTTTAGGACCCACTTTAATTTTTCGTGCCTATCGCTAAAGATTCAGCGCTTTTTGCAGCTTCACAGTTGGCTCACGATAAACTGCCAGCCTTCCTCTTAAGCAGCCCATGCTGGGTAGACTCGCAGCGACAAGGCATCAAGATGGCTTCCAAACTGCAAATACACAAGCCATATGTGCTACATGCCCTTCCGCGTCCTCTGGACCGTCCCGAAGGCCCGGGCCGATATCACGCGAGTGAAGTTTTTGGCCAGAAGCAAGGCTCCAAACGACGGAAAAGACCCGAGACCGCGGTAGCAATTGACGGTGTCGGGATGTACCTTTATGATGTTAGACTCCTGCGCTTCATTGCAACATAATGTTCCGAGCTGACACGGCGCAGACACTCTCATCCCAAGCTGTGACTTCGTACCTTGTCTCGCCGCGATCCGTCTTCACCTGCCCGCCATACTCGCTACGATGGCGGCTGTCGTCGCAAAAAACAGCCATGCGCTATACTTACATCTCAATCTTGACACAGGACTCTACTTCATCAAACCACGAGATCAAGCTGTTCAAGGAGGAACTCTCTGGGTCAGCTAGCACAACATCCGCTCCTGTTTCCCGTACCATCCGCTGCGATTCGACCATCGTCTACATCTTCGCAACCTCGCCCCGGAACTCTCATACTACTTTGCCGAAGGACAATTCCCCGAATCACGCCTTGGTTGCTGTGGCCGCTGATGGCACAATTTTGTGCTTGGATGGAGAAAGTCTTGAAGAACGGTGGCGGATGGCGCCATCTTTCCTCTCGAAGGACCTTTTACTGGATTCGAAATCGGGTCTCCGCGTCGATTTCGCCCAATCCACATCTGCTGCGGATGTAGTCGACGGGATGTTTGGCGGCAAGGACGAGCTCTTCGGTGTGTTCCAGGAGAAGGTACACCGGGAAGGCTTCAACCCAGATTTCCTCATTGTGATTAGCTCCCACGATCAGCCTCGAACAAACTGCCCGAGGCACTTGCATATCCTTGCCTTGCCGTCAGAGAGTGAAGCCCGGAGGGCGAATAAGGAGGATATCATTCCCATCTTTGCTGCTCCTCTCCCCACCGAAGCGAATGGGAGCAGGCTTCAACTGGACATCAGATCTGGCACGCTGCAAATGCTGTCTGACGGCCTGCTTGCCACCTATGTCTTCACGAACGGCATTCCTCGACTTGAGAATAAGTTGCAGGTTCCCGCACTAGCGTCTTTCATTCGGCTGTCGAAGACTTCAGTTCTCACATCAGCTACCGATTCCTTCTCAGTCTACAATCCAATCTACCGCTCACTTCAGGCCACCACCTCGATTAACTCTGAGGCAGATAGCGGAGACCTTGGCGCATGCGAATTTGTCACCTACTTCGCCGGCCGAGATATCGCCATCGGATTACGAGGAGCAAATCTCGTTGCTGTCCAAATCGAAGCACCAAAGAACCGGATAAGCAAGCGTCGTGCAGAAGGCTTGTTGACGGACGCGATTCGGCGCGGCATTTCTCGCGAGAAATCCTGCCAAAAGCGGACCAAGGGAGAGTTTGCTGTCTCGGCCGTACTCGCAGAAACCCTTCCTGGGTCCTTGGCCGATTCCGACTCACCGGAATGGGAGGCGGAAGTCGCACAAGCAGACGAAGTCCTTGACCGCGATGACCTCCGTGCTTGGGAGGAATTTCTGGCCAAAATCTTCAAATTGGAAACCAGGCCAAGTCCAGCCGATGCGGAGAAAGCGGCTCTCGTAAACGGAGACACCGTGGCCGCCAATCTACCGGAGTGGAAATGGCCGTCCTCCGCAGCCCACTATGCTCGCGTCGACCGACGGTGGGTGTTTTATGCCATCAGCCGAGTTTTCACTTGGGAAGATCGAGAAAACGGGCCGACGGCCGCACCGCTTGCGTGCCGACTTGCTGAGAGCAATGTCCTCAATTATCTCGTTGATGCCGGACATTTGTCTACATCAAATCTCAAGTCTGCTTTCAGAGATGAGGTCCGGGAATTAGACGACGCCGATAATATCATCGGGGAGGCTGTTCCTCTTCTTTTGGCTGAAGTCGACCCGACGATGGAGCTACTTCTTGGTTACCTTTCGAGTACTCAATTGGGCCCGACAGAGTTAGTCTCTGCTATCAAGGTCCTCCTCCGCAGCCTGGACCTATTCGAAGACTCGTCGAAAATCCAAAATTTGCGGCTTCGAGACACCGTCGAACCAAGCCAAGATCAGGACAACGCGGTGAATATGGAGCTTGATCGGGCAGAGGAGGAACTACAGATTACGGAACACTATCTTGATGGCCACCGCGCCCGCGGCTTGGGTGTCGCCTTCAGCAAGCTGGCAGTTTGCCCAGCGCTATCAACGGTCCAGAGCCTACGGCGTCTGTTCAAGCCCGAGGAAACGATTGGGTTGATGAATGTTCTGCGGGCCGAGCTCATCAAAGACGGCTGGACGACACGCTATCTGGATCGGACGGGGATCGACCAAGACGAGATTGAAGCGCCGCCGGACGGGAGCATCCAACTCATTGCTGACTTGATGTCTAGATGCATTGACTCGGTTGGCTTGGGAGGCTGGATGGCGTCGGATACCATGCTTGCAAATGCAGGCTCTCAGGAAGACTCTGCAGATTTTTTCAGCCAATTCCAAGCCGAGATCAGCGTGGCGTTGGAAGGCATCATGGAAGCGGTGCGACTTCAGGGGACGCTGGCCGAAGCTGTCAATTACGCAAGGAAGGCTAGGAAAGCACTCGCAGACTCGGCAAAGGGCAAGGCAACGTCGGTGCAACTGACTAAGGAACTTCCATTGGGGCTCAAGACAGACGCCAAAATCTCGCTGGAAAGGGTCAGGTCAGGAGGCGAAGTGGTTCCTCGGAGCAGCAGACAGATTGGCCACTTTGTCAGCAAGAAGCGAGGCATCTACTCTGTGCACAGAATATCAGAGGAGACTTTGCTGGGTGGCACTGGTGCCACGGTTGTTCAGGAGGCTCGGTGAGCCCGGCATATCGGGGCTCACAACGTCTAATGCTAGCTACCGATGACTTCACTAGCGTCTTGATGGCCGTCTGACTCTTCCAAACTGGTCTGTGGTGAAGCGAAATTAAATTCGGTCCACAAAGCGCCCAGATATCATACGGCCGAGTCTTTGGAGCCTCACATGCACACATGACAGGCGAAAGGGTGATGGCAGCAGCCCGAGCAGAGCAGCGTTGGTCGATCGGGTAATTCAACGAGGCGCCGGTTCGTTGTGCCACAATTCTGATAGGTTGCAGTGGGCGATTCTGTCTGAGATGGAATGCAACGATTGCAAGTTACCCATTGTCCCGGATGCTGTTGACGCACGGCCCGAAGCGCCCGGCGGCCAACAGGAAATGACACGGCTGCATTTCCGCGCGGCAGCCTGAAGACAAAATGCTTCTGATCGTCTTTCCTGTGCTCGGACGGGCACGCCCAACGGACATGATTGCCCTGTTCCCATCTCCAAGGGGCGCCTGGAAACTCAAATGCCAACGCAAAGAATGAGGTGGCCCAATGACGATACCGAGGATGACTCCTAAAAGGAATCATAGGGCGCCTCATTTCTCTCCTGGGTGTAATTACTGTATTCATTACTTTGGGCTGCCATCATGCTGGAGGTTTGAGTTGTTCTGGATTCGATAGGCACTCGTACGACTCATCGGGAAGCCAACGAGACGGCAGGAGCCAAGGCGAGAAATCACAATTTCATTTGAAACCACATCATGTGCCAATCGCCACTCCAGTCAACTTTAATGTTTGGTTGCCAAACCAATTGGGCAGAAGCCTCGGGCACCTGCCGGGTTTGGCTCTTTTGCTTCGAGTTCTGTGACAGTCATCCAGTGTAACTACATACTCCGTACAGTACCTTAAACTCCACTGTAAGACGCCGGTTCAGCCGAAAACTGCGCCCTTTCCCCGGGCTTTACCGACGTCATCGCCTCAATCGGACCTGCCCGCAAAGCACCTCAGCGCCCATTGCTATTGGCCAGCCCTACTAACCCCCGGTCATTCTGTGCTGGGAGCGTTGCTCGGTTTCTGGCACGGAAAGACGTCACTGGCAATTTTCTCGTGTCTCGTTCGTGCCCCGCACTCTTCCTTTCCTGGACTCGATTCTTGCGGCGAGGCAGACTGGAAATCGGATCGAGATGCCTGGACTGTCTTGCTGTGTTTTGTTGTCGTCTCCCTGCAGTTGTGGTTTGCAACTAATATCTATCATTTGGGGCGTCTTCGAGTCCGCGCCCAACATGACTGAAACAAGATGCATGCATTATTGCATGTCTTGTTGGCCCTTTTACCTCTGTTCTCTGCCCAAAGAGTCAAAGACTTGTGATGGTTGGCTCGGGGATGACACCTTTCCTTTCTCGATGGAGCAGCCTCAGGTCTTGGAGCCTCGTGGCAAAAAAGGCCCAGTTTGCGCTTCGCTAGTGCCCCGGGATTGATGGCAGTTATTATACCATTACTATTTCATTACTCCATTACTCTGGATTCGGGTGCCATCCATCCCTAGTGTGGCCCTCCGCCCATCATCGTCGATCTCACCCCGCCATTCGTCAGCAGATTTGCGCCTAGACGGAAGACAGGAAGCCAGGTGATGTTGTGATCTGACTAGCGCCATAGGTATTCTACACAGCCCACTCGGCGGCTTTCTTCCTCTTGCTTACATTCCAATCTTCGTCTCCATCAGCCTCACCTCAAACCAATCAACGCCACTTAGAGCTTACACGGATCCCCTTTGACTTGGCCATCACCCGCTCACCGAGATAGTCCGCCGAGTGTCTTCGATATCATCTGCGACATCGAAGGGACCCCAAAATCGACTTGGGACGCTGAAACCGAACGCTTGAGCCTGGTGTGAACAGCCTACGGGCAGATCCTTTCCATGACTGGCGCGGTCGGCGGCGTCCCGAATATCCAGTCAGTCGGTGACTTCGCACGACAACTGTACACTCGCGCTCACACTGCTGGAGCCGAATTCGACGACCTGACTACATCGCTCCGCAGCCTACAGAGGGCGCTCAGACACCTTCACGCCGAGGCTCAAGACCCCGACTCGCCCATTCACCAGTCAATCTCCGCTGGGCCCAGCAACCAGAGCGCCATCTATGCTAGGCAACTGACCTCCCTCGTTCAAGATAGCAAGTCAACCCTTCAACAAGTCAACGACATTCTCGACGCGTATGAGCACCAGGGAACTCGTCGTAGCGCCAGAGATGGCTTTGTGGGGGAAGAGTCAGATGCCACAGAGAGGGCACGAAAGATCAGATTGATGCAAGGATGTGTCGCCTCCCAAAGGATGAAGATTGACCTCTTTCTCAACGCTCTTCAGCTGCCTAACCCAAACAAGACGCAGTTCGTGCTGGAGAGGGCAGACGATCAGCAGCTGGATATGATTGGGAACAAAGTTGACGCCATCGCCAATCGTTTGTTTCGGGAAAGGAACCGCCGGTCAGCCGTCGATGGCTCTGATGAGGACTTGTGGCAAGATTTCAAGGCCGAGCTGGAACGGGAGGGCTTTTCGTCCGATGTGCTGAGGGAGAACAAGGTTCGTGATCTCTCCTATACGTCCTGCGGATGAAACACCAGACGATATTCGGATTCATTGACAAGCGCCCGCAGGAAGTGCTTAGGGCATATATTCGTTCCCTCGAAGCCCATGAACCACTGCGTGATGGCACTCCCCCTTCTGTCAGGGGTTTGCTGGAATGGGACGGTCGAACACTCTTAACAGACAACTCCGATAGTACACCCCTTAGCAACGAAAGACGGCGACGCGGACCAACCTCCGAGTCGACCGATTCGCCGCAGTTTCCTCGTCGTGTTCATCCACCGGCCATTTTTAACCAACAATCCCAGCTAAGCTACGACCGCGGTTTTTCGACGGCTTCATCGGATTCGGAAGCTAGTCCTGCTTTCCAAACAGCTCTCATCTCAACTCAAGACTTGATTGCCCTTGACCGCTATGGCGCCGACGGAAATGCTTCGCGCGTGCCATCTCTGTATCTGTCACCTTCGATTTCCCAAACTTACAATATATCACCCGGCACATCTCCGAGCAACAGATACCTACCGCCCGGGGCACAGCCACTGTTGATTCCCGGGTCAGTTGATGCCGCGCATGAGAGCCAGCTTTCGGTATCCCCCGGACGTCAACCCCTTGCTATACCTCCCCGCTACTCACAACCTTTGCCACTCCCTTCCGAGGGCTCTAGCGGTGCGTTCCCAGCGTCACCCCCACCACCATACGGATCTAGTCCGGTTGTTTCTCCGTCGGGGCCTACTTTCGACCTCACCGCCCTATCATCTTCGGCCCCCACGGCGGGAAATGGTATTTCCCAGCACCAATTTCAGCGGCAATACAGCTACCTGGCCCCTGATGGCAGAGGTCAAGGCATACCGCTCGATGCCAAGTGGACAAAGATTAATCGCAGACTGGTATCCCCGGAGGTGCTCCAAAGGGCCGGTGTCCGCTACGAAGCTAGGCCCACCTTTGTGGCTGTTCTTGGTGTTCTGACACGCGAACAAGTCGAAGAGTATGCGAGGCAAAGCTCCGAGGTCCGCCGGGCGAGGAGTGCCGGCAGTTCCTTGAGGCGGGATCAGGCGCCACGGCACCTAGAGACGTATTCCGACCGCGAGAGAAGGCGAACAGACAGCGGTTTGGCGGGAGACGATGACACCGACGACATCTTTGAAGACAGCGATACGAATTCGTCTGAGGCTGAAGGGGCTCGCCGCAACAGAGACAGACCCGGTCGGCGTCGCAACCGCTTCACGCCGCCAAGGGAACACAGACCGAGCAGGAACCGAGACAGCGAGGAGAACGATGACGAGCGGGGTGCAAGGCCATATCCCATTATTGTATCACCCCCGGAAAGCGTCAACGGCGAGCGGGTATCTCCCTCAAGTACCGTAGAGCCCAAACCGATACTGAAGAACAAGAATCCACACCATGTCCGCTTCGACCGGGACGGGCCCAAGGAAATCTCGTCGTCCGACAGCAGAAGTCGCCGCGATAGGGTCAGAGAGCGGTATCGCAGCGAGGCTGCGGATAGGAGCCGGGAACGACCGCGAGACAGGGAGCGCGAACGGGATAGGGATCGTGAGCGTGATAGGGATCGTGACTGCGACAGAGATCGGCCGCGGCGGGAAAGGTCGAAGTCCAGGGATCGGGACCGGGACCGCGATCACGACCGCCGCTCTTCACAAAGGCACGCCGATCGAGATCGAGACCGGGACCGGGACCGGGACCGAGACCGTGATCGTGATCGTGAGCGTGAACGTGAACGAGCCCGCGAGACTAGCGAACGCATTGGTGGTGGAAGGAGAAGCGCGTTGAGAGAGACGGCCAACGTCATCGGTGTTAGTGGCACCGCGGCGGCTCTGTTGAGCGTCTTGACTGAGGCCGTAAAGCACCTCTGATGTGGAGCATTATGACGTGATATGCGGCGTACGGGGGTGTATGCGTCCATCAAGGAGACTGGACGATACTGATGAGTGGATTTGGGATGCCTTTATGACATTATGATACCCCATATTTGTTTACTCAAAACAAACAAAACCAAGGTGTTGGATTGGGGTCTGGTGTATTATGGAAACGGATGGGATACGACTTACGCGACATGTAACGAGTTCAATACGAATCTTCACGCCTGCGAATGGTGATATAAATATATGACTAATGATGCTGCTGTTCGACGCTGCGGTGATATTTATCTGGATTTCATGATCGTGTATGAGCCACATTGAGGTGCCACCTTAGATGGACAAGAAAAAGTGCGAATACCCAGATGGTGGAGCTGATGATGATCCTACTACATTATACCTACCCGCGACGCCCCGCTTCCTGTAACCAGATGTTATTAGGCATGAGGTGGTGATGGAATCCAGGTCAGTTCCTCCTCCATCGAACTAACCCAACCCAGCCCAGCATGACCAGACCATACCATACCATACCATACGCCCCTGAACCCGCCTTCTTCTATCCTAAGTCTCACCTCCGCCTAGTCGCCCGCCTCTCCTTAGCACTGCTGGCCTCGTCAAAAAACCGCTGCTGCTGCTGCATCATCAGCCCCATCTCAGCCAATGTCAGCTTGTGCCCCTCTTCCTCTGCTTCGTGCTGCTGCTGCTGCTGCGGAAACGAAAACGACGCGCCCTTGTCCTTGCCAAGCATCTTGCTCATCAGCTGCGCCTTGTACCGCTTCGCCTCCGGGTCTTCGTACTCGAGTTGCGTCGAGGCAGGCACCGGCGGCTGAATCTCCCCTACCTCTTGCACAGGTGTCGTTGTCGGTATCACTGCTTCAACGCCATCGACCGGTTTACCTGTTGTAGTAGTGGCAGGAGTCGTACAACCAGCCGCCGCCGAATCGCCGGCACTAGCGCTGCTAGCGGCTGAAGCCACCGAGACGTTGCTGACGGCGCGGCCGAGGATCTCGCGCTTGCGCCGCTTTGGGCGGGCCGTCGCCGCCGCCAGCGTTAAGTCGTCTACTGGAGGAGCAACTTGAGGGACGGTAGCGTCTGAGACTGTCGCAGAGCCTACAACAGGTGCGGCGGTAGTAGTACTGGTGGGAAGAAGAAGGGTATTGCCGCCAGCAGCCCCTGTATTAGAGTCTAAGAGGGAACTGGCAAGCTTGGTCGAGATGGCCAGGCGCTCTGCCTCGGCCCTCTCGGCTTCGAGTTGCTGCTGCTGCCTTTGCCTCTCTGCGGCTGCGGCTGCGTCTAGTCGAGCCTGCTCCTCTTTTTCTTCTTGTTCCACCGCTGCTCTGCCAGCGCTGTTATCATCAGGCTGGTTCTCCACATCGTTGTCGATGTCGTCTGCCGGGATGTCCTCCGGCCGGCACACATCGCCCTCGGTGGCCTCCGAATCGGCCACTTCGCTGGCAATCCTGCTTAGGCCTTTACGGGAGGGGGGTTGTTGTTGGTCTGGGCCAGGCACTTTCCGCGAGGAAGAGGAGGGCGACTTGTTTAGCGCGTTGGCTGAAGCCTCCAAGAGGGGAGCGGCAGTGGAAGTCTTGCTGCTGGATCCCGTGCCCTCGGCGTTAGGTGTGTGGAATTGATGGCTAAGAGCTGTTGCGAAGTGCGTCGTAGTGGTAAAGTTCGACTCGCGTTCGTATGGGCCACCTTCCGCACGACCCGGCTCCCCTGATCCCTTGGGTCGTGTGGACGCGTCGTCCGAATCAGGGCGCGGCGTGGGCTTCACCGTCGGCTTCGGAGCCGGGTTTTGATCAGCAAGCCCCCTAGTTGGGGGTTTGTCATCATGACCGTTTGTGCTGTCTTTGGCTTTTGCCCTCAATTGCTTCGGGCTTGTAATATTCTGCTTCAACTCCGGAAAGAGGAACCGCTTGATTGGGATCCTAAACCCGGTCGAAATGCATTCCCACAACCACTCGGCACTGACCACTGGGATCTTCCACGCCCGTGCAAACTCGAGCTTGTCTTTCCGGGTCGCAGCCAGGGAATGACACACGAGTATGGACACATCTGCCGTGAATCTTTCAACGTACTTTCCCCCCAACTGTCGTATGGCTTTATCCACCTGGTTGAGGTCAACCCCGGCAAAGCCAGCCGTGCAGATCACCAGATCCTCAAATCCAGGAATCGGAAACGCGGGGAATGGACGCCCGATGACGTGTTGGGACGGATCGAAAAAGTACTTCTTGTGCAGGCATCTCTCAATGTAAAACTCGGTTATGATGTGTACGTTGTCGGGAATTTGTGGATGGGTATCTGGAGAGGAAGCCTGCGGTACGATCAGGAAGCGGTGGGCTAGTTGAGCACCGGATGTCGAAATCACCTCGTCGAGGGATTGGCAAATCAAGCCGCCGAGAGAGGCGATGACATTCATGAGAATTTCAGCTTTTTGGGCCGAGAAGCCGTACACGAAGAAGCAGCAGGAGGCGAAGATGGCGTTGGGGTCGGGGGCACCGAATGACGACAGCTTTGACCCCTGGGTGTCAATCGACTTGGACCCTCCTGATTGCTGGGCAGACGGCGTGGGTGGCATGGTGGCGGCCTTGGCTGGCGCGTCTTTAAGGGAAACCGGTCCGAGGTCTTGCGCCGGTGACTTTCCCAAGATGTCACCCCATAGATTGTCCCGTTGGCTGTTTAGCTTCATGCTTGCCGTCTTGCGCAACTTCCTCTTCCCGTCCTCTTGAAGAGCGCTGCTTTCCCTGAGTCTCTTGCCCAAGGATGAGACTCGCCGAGGTTTTTGTCTGTTCCATGCGCCCACGCCCCTCTCCTCTTTCGGCAAGACTGGGTCGTAGCACTTCTCGTCCAGGATCATGCCGCGCTCGATGCTGTCGAAAACCCACTCAACCGAAACTGTTCGAACCTCCCAATTCTGCGCGGCCTGGTACTTGCGTCCTTCTGGTTTGTGGACAATCAAGTGGGTGACTCGTCTCGTGAGATCGCCCGTGTAGACGCCGCCATTCGACTCGATGCTTTGGGTGATCTGCTGGCGCAGATCCGGGTCCTCAAAACCGGTCATGCAGCAGAGGAGGTTCCGGCGCCTAGACACGGTGCCGTCGGGCATGGGCTCCCCTCCGCCCGTCTCAAAAGTGCGCAACTGCCACTCTCTCTCGAGCGCAACAAAGTCGATCTCGGCGTCCTGGACCCAGAGGTTGCGGACGGCCTCGACCCAGCCGGCGGCCATGGGCTTGACGTCGGGTCGTTCTTTGGCGACATGGCGGTATTTGGGCGTGTTGTAGTCGCCCACTATCAAATGCGTGCAGTCGGGTGTCAGGTCATATTTGTGTACGCCCCCGAGTTCGGCCGTCTTGGCTGCAATGTCGGTCTAAAGTAGCGGATGGGATAGTTAGTATCCTGTTTCCGGACGTTGAAGGAATTATGCGAAGCGGAAGATAAATTCCATGACCAGTGCGGTCGGATGCGTTGGCGCATCACTTAGTCGAGCACTACCTCGCTGGAAGCCACAACACCTTTAGGGAGGACGGAAGAGGGGAGGAAATGCGACGCGGCTAAGACATTACCCTCAGTTCTGTCGAGACGTTTGTACAGCAGATAACGACGCCCTTGAAGGGGCAGGAAGAGTCGAATAGAGAGTCGCCATCATCTGCACGTTCTGGTGCGGCGGCCATTTGATGTTCTAGTTAGGAACAACAACTTGCGGCCAGGACAAAAAGGCGGCAGCATGTTCTTGTGCAACAAAAGTTATGTATTCTGTGTAGTTACTTGGTAGCTGAACGGCGCGTCGCGTGAGCAGGTGACAGTAGTGGGGCTAATGTAAAACCTGTCTCCAATAATAAAGGGTTAGGGTTACTGCTGAAGACTGGTACCCATGCTAGCTTCCCTCCTGAGCTTGAAGCCATATAAAATGCTCCTCCTTTGATCCTCCGTTGTGAATTTGACATCTACTATCTCCGGCTCACCACTATCGCCAACGACAGTGACCCTTCCTTGACGGCACTCGTCCTCGGTGGCCCACAGGAAGCGCACATGCTCGTTGGGGTCGAGCGTCACTTCTGGCAGGGCCTGCCCCTCCCCCGCAGATGCTGGACTCTCTACCTCGACCTCGAAGTTGATCTTTGTAACAACAAGGCCTCTGCTGGTAAAGAAGCTATACTCTGGCCCAATCTGCCGCGTAATGCTCTTCAGTTTTAGCCCGGCCTCCTCCCAGAGCTCCCTGGCAAGTCCGTGAAGTATTGTCGCATCTTCCAAGTCGCAGGCTCCGCCGGGTACCTCCCAGCGAAGGGGCATTGTGTCGTGCGGGGCCCGCTGGACGATGAGCACCCTATCCTCGCCCGTGGCCTTTGAGAAGACGAACGCTCCGGTGGCTGCTCCTCTAATGAGTGGGCGCGTGGAAAGGAACTCTTTTGTTGTTATGTCGAGAGGCTCGATAGTGGGTTGCCAAGTAAATGAGAAACCCCCTTCGGGCAGCGGTCGTGGGACAGTCATCGGCGAGACTTGGTGTATTGAGTTTTGGTATTAATCAGAGCGCAATTCTCCTCAGCTGTACATACAAAGGTACAAACATGAGGCGAGAGGAAGCCGCATTGGAAGAGATGCAGGTGCCGATGCAGAAGATGAATTCTGTCCAGCAGGCACCAGCGCCCCACTTCGATTGTCCAACGCCTACGCCCGCTACGGCTCAGGCCCAGCTCCAGCTTTGTGTCATACTCGGAATCGCATTGTCCCAAAGCCGGCTTCTACTCATGGCTCGAAGGTCGAACTTTCTTCATCAGCTGGAGATAACCCTATCTGAGGTCCGTGCTGCTGCTGATCAAAAAATCTATAACGAGGTATACGGCCGCCACGCACAGTTGAGCAATCCTTGGGGAGTCGGGACTGCCGACTTCATGGCATTCGGCGAAGGTCGGAAGCCGATGCGCACGAAGCGACTCCGGCTTACACCACGCGGGCTGAATGGTCTCGCATGGAAGTGCGAAAACAGATTCGGGCGCGGCCGGATTCGAGCCCGTGGCTGACTCACAGCCGCTTGGCGACGCGGGGGACATTGCTTCGACAGCTCGTAGTGCTCGTTCAACGTTCTAAAAACTGCCGCCATGTCACTGTTCGCAGCGTGCCTATTCCGAAAGCAGATATGCGAGGAGGAAGCGAAGCGGTCTTTGTCGCCGTTGACGTTACGTTATACTGAAGCAATAGTGTGTTGTACCGGTGAGAATTGTAGAAGCGAGCCGGAAGTCGGACATCTCGCGACGGCGAGGTTTTCCGTGAACTATAAATGAAACGGCCGCTCCTCAAGATGAGGCAGCACATGAACGATATCCATGGTCATCAAGCATCGTTCAACAAACCTACCTAGTAGCGAACCGCATCTCTCACACATCCACCTCATAGTCTACTCACCTTCTGAACCGCCACCATGGCCTCAACAACACTACCATCAACAATGAAAACCATCCTCCAAGTCTCCCGCCAGTCCACAGAGCTCACCTCGACCACCGCTCCCGTACCAACCCCATCACACCCAGATGACGTTCTGGTGCGGGTACACGCCACGGCGCCGTGCGCAGGCGAACTGAACTGGATTGTTATGTTCCCAGACCTGTTCCCAGCCGACAAGGAGCTTGTTCCCGGGCAGGACGTAGCCGGAACGGTGGTGTCCGCGCCAGCAGGGAGCGGGTTTGCGCCGGGGGACCGGGTGTACGGGCGGATCCACGCGACGCGGGCGGGCGCGGCGCGCGACTACACGCTCCCCCGCGCCAGCGAGCTGGCCAAGATCCCGCCCTCCCTCAACTGGATCGAGGCCGCCGCCACCCCGCTCAGCGCCCTCACCGCCTGGCAGGCGCTGTTTGTCCACGGCACGCTCGACGCCGCCGCTGTCACCAAGAACGACGCCGCGGCCCGCGAGCGCAACGCCCGCGTCCGCGTGCTGATCACGGCCGCCGGCGGCGGGGTCGGTTCCTGGGCGGTGCAGTTCGCTGCGCTGGCGGGGGCCAAGGCGGTGGTTGCCGTTTGCGGACCTAGTAAGGAGGATGCAGTCCGCGCGCTTGGGGCGACCGAGGTTGTCAACTATAAGGAGACGTCGATCGAGGAGTGGGTGGCGGCGGACCCGGCCGGGCGGGAGTGCGATCTGGTCGTGGAAATGGTCGGCGGCAAGACGCTGGCGGGATGCTGGGTTGCTGTGCGGGCGGGAGGGGCCTTGATCAGCATCCACACGCCGCCTGAAATGGGGAAGCCGGCGGGGCTCGAGAAGGAGCTGGCAAAGAGCCTGTTCTTTATTGTTGAGCCGCTGGGGAGCAACCTTGCCGAGATTTCCGAGCTGATCGAGGCGGGCCGGGTGAAGCCCACGGTTGATAGCGTTTGGGAATTTGCCGACTACAAGAAGGCTTTTGAACGGCTCGAGTCGGGGCATGCGAATGGCAAGATTGTCATCAAGGTCAGCGACGAGGCTTGAACGGGGAGGGAGGTGCGTCGTGTCATGATATGTTGAGAATAGTTTTGTACTTGAGTATGCCGCTTCTTCTTCATCGTAGCCCGGTGTTGTATTAGTAGCTGCTATCTGCTCGTCGATGTGATGGTGAAGGTCTTCCTCAAGTGGATGGCTTGTCGACAAGCTGTGTGTTCGACGCGCTTGGTTTCGAAGTGCTGGGGTACACCGCTCAACTTGACTGTGATTGGTGGATCGGGAATTTGAGACGGCAGTGGCGGGGCAAGGGGACCTGCAGCCCCCTGGTCCCAGGGGGAACTCTAATTCGTGGCGCCAACCGCAGGGCATCCAGGCGAGCCAGGGCAGGGGCTTTCCTTCCACAACCTCGAAGAAACTGTTTGATCTTCGTCGTCTCATCCGTCTTCTTGTCGCAGGTTTCTGTGCGACATACAAGCGCATCAGTACAACCACATCCACTTGGGACCGCACTTTGCAAGGCACGCGATATTTGCCCTCACTTGGCCTTGCTATTCTTGGCTTTGAAGCAGGCAGTGATTCTGCAAGTCTCGGTCGACATGTCCATGTAGCAAATCTTCGGTTCATGTCAACGAGCCATGTCCGATGAATATAGCCTCATCGCTCATCTGTCTCCCGTTTTATTGGATACCTTGGGCAAAGCATTCCTCGGCTGTGTCGAGAGGCGTTATCTTAACGTTCTGTAGGCCACTGCATTCGAGACACCGGCCGTACCTCCGTACATACCTTACTCATGGTTACACCCACTCTCCCTTCTCCTACCCAAGGCACCTTGGATATGCATGCTAGGGCCTGTGCTCTGCTCCTCCCCCAGCACAGCAGCTTTCGTTCCTCTTTTCCATCCCAAGCTTTTGCTGCGTGTTGTTTTGTTTTCTATCCCTTCCTTTTTCCTTTCTTTCCCTCTTCCCTCTCTGCCAGGGGCTCCATCAACCGCGGCAGTATCCTACGGCGGTGGAAAGCCGCAGCGAGCCTGGAGCCTGGTCTCGTATACTCAGTATATGATTCGTTTCGTTCGCTTCTACAGTACTTGTCTTTCTGCGGATAACCGGCTGGCCGTTCAGTTAATACTACCCTTGTTTTTGCTTGAAGTTTCCCTTGGCTTCGCTATCTTGACGTCGCCGCCCATGCCGGCGCCACCGCGGTAATTCACCGCCGAAAGCCGTTGGGAGCAATGGCATTTCCCTTCCTTCGCTCTGTCTGCGCGTTGCTGCTCTTCGCCTTGTTATGCCACAGCGCCGCAGCTCAGCACGAGCCGCACGACCAAGGCTGCGTCCACATGCCCATTGTCCATTCGACCAATGTTGGCTACTTTTCCAGCAGGCGCGGTGTCCAACTACAACTAGCCAACAGGTCCGACGTTGCTTACTATGCTCAGCGTACTTCAACCCCCCCGGTTCAGCCGTTGGGCCTTTTACTGTTCACACGAGTCTAACATCTCCCTAGTCAGCTTGGGCACGCCGCCTCAGCCCGTATATGTCCAGTTGGACACTGGGTCCTTTGAGCTCTGGGTGAACCCAGACTGCAATGCAGTCTCGGGTGCTGATGCTGCCTTCTGCGAAAGGGCCGGGCAGTACGACGCAAGCAGGTCCTCGACGGTTAATCCCTTGGGAACGACGAGGACGCTGCGATATGGCATCGGGTCTGCCAATATCACCTACGTCACAGACACCATCACCCTTGCCGGGAGCACCACTGCACTGGAAGCAGTTCAGTTTGGCGTCGCCACCTCGTCCGAGGACGCTTTCTCGGGGATCCTCGGCATCGGTTATGGGAAGGGCATCGCAACTAGGTATTCCAACTTTGTCGACCAATTATCCGAACAAAACGCGACGAGGGTCAAGGCGTATACCATCGCACTGGGGAGCAAAGACGCTCAGGAAGGCGTCATTGTGTTCGGCGGCATTGACAGGTCCAAGTTTGCTGGCACCTTGGCTAGGCTCCCAATCATTCCCGCCGAATCCTCCCCCGACCTTGTGCCCCGATTCTGGATTGATATGCAATCCATCTCGATTACCCCCCCAGGCGGCAGGGCCCGTGTTTACGATGGCAGCACCATGCCTGTGTTTCTCGATAGTGGGTCGACCATGACACTGTTGCCACCGAACCTCACCAACACCATTGCGAGCGACTTCGGAGTGCAAAACGTCGATCCAGACGGCTTCATCAGAATCGACTGCGCTTTTGCCACCATGAATGGCACCCTGGACTTTGCATTTGACGGCCTCACGGTCAAGGTCCCTTATAAGGAGCTGATACGTGAGGTCCCCAGTAATCCGCCAGCCTGCTTCCTGGGCATCACGCCGAGCGAGCGCTTCGCGTTGCTGGGAGACACATTTATGCGGTCAGCGTACAGTATGGCCAGCCCCCCTTCGTACATGAGTAATTCAGCGTTACGTTTGGAACTGATTTCGTTCATCTATTGTTAGTTGTGTTTGATCTCGAATCAGACTCGGTCTGGATGACGCAAGCCGCCAACTGCGGCTCTACCCCGGCCGCCCTCAACAACGTGAGGGACCTGTCTGCGGTCGTGGGCGCCTGCGGCTCGACAAACTCGGCAGTAACAGGAACCAGCGGCACGGTGATTCCCGGTACAGGAACTCAGAATGGTGCCGCCCAATCCAGGCCTATCTCGGCTACAGGCGGCGCCGCCTCAACGTCAGGGACTGCTACCAGCGCTCAGGACAGATCACAGCGTACGGCATCCCGGGCTTCATCATCCCGACTGGAACCTAGGGGGATTGTGTGGAGTTTGGTGGCGGTCATGGCGCTACGGATTCTTAGCAGGGTATGAAAATGGTCTCTGAGCTGGCGATGCCTCTGTATTTACTTGCGTAGTAGCTATGTATATGCATACTTTAATGATTGTCATGATTCTTCATACCGTTTGGCCTGAAAACAACCGTACCTAAACAGTGGCGGATGCGACGTTCTGAGACGGAGCCTGTGGAATACCGCTGTCTCTTGTGTTTTTTCTCAGGTCCAAGACGCTGCTGTTCATGCCCAACTTGGTAAGCGAAAAAGCTACTAGTATTTACCAAAGCAATTTAGATTGGTCTGTCGCTTGTCATGCCATGTCTACAAGGCGTTTGGATGTAGCAAGTCTGCTAGTAAGACTTCAGGGAGAAGACATCGGCAAGAAAAAATGGTGGAACTGATGGAAGACAGCACAGTTTTGGTACAGGCGAATGGAATACGGATTGCATTGAAGAGATGAAAAGGACCAAAAAGCTCACAGGGGAGCCACCTAACTCTGCCACTTGGGTTAGGTAGGTGCTCCTGCTACGAAAAACCGCCCTGCGGTTTTTGCTCCGAGCCCAGCGCCATGGTTCGAACTCGAGGCCTGCTCGAGGCCTGCTCAAGGAACAAGGCTGCTGAGGGGACATCGACCCTGCATAGCCACTTGACTAATCCGGGGAGTCACCTGCTAGGTTGTGTGCTGGAACTCATATAAGTATCATGGGCGTGCTGAGATGGGATGGAAGAGGGCGCATGGGGGAGGTACATTACATGTATGTACGTGTTGTCGTGGCACTCACCTCGCCTGGCCCATTGTTTTGGGAGCATACATGTAGAGGTTTAGTACATGAGAGTCAATGGAAGGAATCAAGCAATCAGTTCATGAAGACTTAGTTGTTGGTTTATGGTTATTGTTGTCGGCGAAATTGTTAATGGTTTGCAACGCTCTTGGAGCATAAGGGTATGGTCGGACACTTACCTGTGAGGACTCTGTTGTCTCTAGCAGCGGCTGCCCTCTGTTGGTCTGCTTGAGTCGGGCGGAATAGCTTACCTTGAGCTTCTTGGAACCATGGCCCGTTTGGGTTCTTAAGCTGTCAACTCGGGCCTGTTGATGCCCAGGGACCTACCTTGGTCAGCCACGGAGGCCAAAGAATACTACTATACCGGCCTGATTACGCTTGAATTTCAAGGCAGCGTCTTGTATGCCCTGGGTGAAGTTTACAATCTTGTCGATAGCATTTGCAGCCTCGTCATGGTTCCGCTTCGAGACTGCCGCACATTCGGGGATCCCAGAGGAGACAATTACTTTAAGCAGTTGGTCAGCTATTCGGATCTCTGAGAACAGATTTCGCAAGCCATCCAATGCAGGTGGTTCAGCATGGCTCACGACAAAGGATCGAGCTCCGAGTCAAAATCCAATGCCCATCCGATTGCTGTTCTTCGTGGTGATACAGGACTCCAAGCAGGTACTCCGTACAGTACAGTGCGCTGATTTTAGATTGATCGTGGCCCCCGAATGCGAATAAAGCTCGAGCTCACGGGGTATAAGGCAGACCAAGATGCTAGCAGAGTTGGCAATTGGCAGCTGCCTCGGCTCGGGTCGCCTGTTCCCTCAATCGTGGTTGTTTCTTTGATAGGAACCTAAGGCTACTTACACAGTAGAAGTCTGGAAATGCTCCGCATCAGGCAGGAACTTTGGCTGACAGCTGTTTCGTTTCAGGATGTCCGGACTCGACCACTCTCGGAGTGGAGCTGCCAACTTTCATGAACCTTTGACGTAAACAGGATTCGCTTCTGGTCGCACTGCAAAACGTTAGGGTGGTGTACTGTACACTACGAAGAAAAGCCGGTTCAGTCTCCATAGGTTAGGTGATGTAGAAGTGGTCTAGTGTAAGTAGGCTGCTGTTTCGAAACGGTCCAACTGAGCGGCACAAGGTGAGGAGGGGCTTCTTGTCGGGTATAATTGACACTTCTAATGCATTTCACTACTGTCCGATGTTGGCGGCGGAGATGGGAGGAAACTTTGTATTTGAAGCTGTTAAACACGACTGTTAGGTCAAATTCGACAAAGTGGTGTACAAACAAGAAGCTGGGTCCAGGGCCCTGTCCACCACGTTAATAAGAAGGGGCACCTGAGGGAAGGAGGTTGTGAGCTCGTGGGAAACAAACCAGGTTCGGGAAAATTCCGGTCCTGTGGAACGTCTTTGTAATCACAGTACAAAATATTTGGGGAATTACTGTAATCTCCATCCGAACCACAATACGAGATGACAATGACGTTCACGCCTGACTCCAGCCGCGAGGGAACGCCAAATCCCAATCACATCGAAAACGAATAGAAACGTTATTTTCGACGATAATTGGCAGTTTGTGAGAGTTTGACCAGAAATGGCTTCAGTGTTTGGTTCATGTGATGTTTTGTACACCACTTCGTATGGTACAGTAATCCGGAGATTGGCTTACGGCGAGGAACAGGATTGGCCTGCTTCCATTCAGTCGATCTGCAACGCCAAGAGAGAGCCAAGGGGCTGTGTTCAGCTTGCCGGGCCGCCCCTGCAGGGGACCAGGGGGCCGGCGCGCCACCCTTCATAACAAGCTCGCGAAACAACTGCAGCGACTTGCTCCTCTTCCATGTCACCTCAAAACCGTTTGCCGTCAAGACCAGCAAACCACACCCAACGGTCTTTCCCTCGTTTTCATCCTTCTTCGTCTGCATCCAACCGTCCTCGTGTGACGTCGACACTCTTTCAAAATCGTACTTCGTATTGGGCTTTCGGATTCTCTCTAACTTGTCACGCTTTTCTCTCTCCCTTGCCCCCGACGAGTCCTTCTTTCGAAACACTCGCTCTCTTGCTTTCTTGGTGTGACGCCATTGCCAAGCGCCAAGTCATCTTCGCAGCAACGAATTTGAGCAGACAGACGAAATACTTAGACCGCCTTGCTCTCGCTAGCTTCCTTCTTCACAATGCGTCCCACTACAGCTCTGGTCACTGCCGGCGTCCTCGCCTCAGGCGCGTCGGCTGAGAACTATCTCGGCTTCAACTCAGGCGCCACACTGGCCGACCGCTCCGCCAAATTCAAGGCCGACTTCGAAGCCGAGTTCAAGACGGCGCAGGGTCTCGAGAACGCCCCAGGGACGTTCAACGCCGTGCGCCTGTACACCAATATCCAGGCCTACTCGCAAGATGACCCGATCGAGGCCTTCGAAGCCGCTATCGAGACCAAGACGAAGTTGCTGCTCGGCATCTGGACCTCGGGCACCAGCAGCATCGAGAAGGAGCTCAGCGCGCTCAAGAAGGCGGTCGACAAGTACGGCAAGGACTTCACCGACCTCGTGATTGGCATGTCAATTGGCAGCGAGGATCTCTACCGCGATTCCGAGACGGGCATCATCAACAAGGCCGGAATTGGTGCCGGGCCGCAGGTCATTGTCAACTTCATCAATGAGTACAAGAAGGCCTTTGCCGACACGGCCCTTGCTAGCGTCCCCATCGGGCATGTTGATACGTGGGATGCCTGGACCAACGGCACCAACAAGGTTGTCATCGATGCCGTCGATTGGGTCGGTGTCGACGAGTATCCCTACTACGAGAACGGCAAGGGCAACGACATCAAGAACTCTGGCCAGCTCTTCGACCGCGCCTTCAATGCCGTCGCTGGTGTCGTTGGGGAGAAGCCCATCTGGGTTACAGAGACCGGCTGGCCTGCCACTGGCCCCAACTGGGACCAGGCGGTTGCCAGCGTCGAGAACGCCAAGTACTACTGGAACGAGGTTGGCTGCCGCAAACTCTTCAACAAGGTCCCGACCTTCTGGTACAACCTGCGTGACTCGAACCCGGACAACGAGATGAAGTTTGCCATTACCAACAACCTGTCGACCAAGCCTCTGTTTGACCTGACTTGCCCGACTACCTTTGAGACTCCCTCGTCCACGACTTCGAGCGACTCCTCCTCCTCCACCGGCTTTACAACCAGCGTCACCAGCGCCGGCGGCGCCGCCTCCACGGGCGGTAGCAGCACCGAGTCAGGCTCCAGCGGCTCCGGTGGCTCCGGTACTGGCAGCGCTGCCGCCACCTCGTCAAGCCCGGTAACCGGCAGTAGCTCCTCCATGGGCAAGACGCTCTCGGCGGCCGCCGTTGCCAGCCTCGCGCTCGTCGCCGGCATGTTTGCTCTGCTCTAAGTTTTGCGAGGTATCATAACGGTAAGGCGGGATTGCATAAGGCCTTTGTGGCGGGGTTTGGGAACATTTTGGCGATCTGTATCATTTGTCAGGCCAATGCATGTACTTGTCCTCTTCATCTCTGTCTCTCTCTCTTTCATTGCTGCCGGGCTGCATCCCGACAGCTGGATCTGGAGGTTCTTTGCCGCATACGGGATTCTAGTAGACAGGATACACACACATAGATTTAAAAGGAATTCTCGGTTTGTTTTTTTCTGCTTGTTAACAGTCTCACATGGAATCAATGCTAGGATCCGACCGCACGGAGTCCGTATCCACGCCCTTGACGACCTCTTGCTCATCCACAATCTCCCGCTCCGTCCGCTCGAGAAAATCCCTCTGCTCCCTCAGAAACTCTTTCAGCCGTCTCGCTTCCACACCCATCCTCGTCCTCTCCCCCTTCCCCGTTGCATCCGTACTACTACGCAGCTCGGCCAGCTGTGTCTGGATGCGTGCGGCGAGCATTTCGAGCCGGTACGCCGCAAACTGCGCGTACAGCTCGCCCAAGTCCGACACGGGCCGCACCGTCGTCAGCACCGTGTCGTCGCGCACGTGCGGATCGCGCGGCCGGAACGACGTTACCATGGTTATCCGCTCCGGTTCTTCTGAATCTGAGCCGCCGGGCAAGGAGGCCAGGGGCAAAGCGCGCAGCGCTCGATGGGTGATGTACCGCCCCTGCAGGACCACTGCGTGGCCCTGGAAATAAGGGAAGGTAAGTCAGGGATGGTCGGTACATTAAGTAGCAGGGAGGCAATCAGGGGAAGCATACCATCTGCGGGGATCGGATTTTGAGGGTGCCGCCGCCGCCGCCACCGCCGTGGCTTCCCATGCGCAGCTCCGTCTCGCCGCCGACCATGCCGCTGCACTCGCTCAGCATCACGACGCACACGAATGGGTAGCTGTCCGTGTGCCACCCGACGATGGGTTCGTTGTCCCCTGGAATGTTGGGAGTAACGCTGCTAACGCCGTTACTGGAACAGGACGAGGGCTGTTGGCTGGGAGTGGCAACAGTGTTGTTGTTGTTGTTGTCGGGTTTGCGAGACAGGTTGATGTGCCCAATCTCCAAGTCGAACTGTACCGCCAGGTCGATGCCGGCCACGCGGGAGATGATATCTACTGTGGTTGGGTGCTTCCAGGCTGCGTAGATGAAGGGGGCGTATCTAACGCACGCTATTAGTTGGTTGCTTACCCCCTAGATATCCTCCCCGATCGTTCGTTGGGTTTGCACGTGAAGTGGCGGGAGGAGAGAAGCACCTACTTGTCTGCGTAGCCCCTGAGCTGGGACTGGGCCAGGCTGCTCGAGTACTGGCAGTTCTCTAGGACTGGGCCGGCCAGTGCCTCATCGCGCATCCGCATCACTGCTTCGCGCGTGAAGAGCGGGAACGGCTCGGACACGGCCACTGGCGAGACGCCCACGTCGGGTGGGAGGCCGATGTCTGCCATTGTGTATATCCTGGCAGGTGGCGCGAAGGCGAGGTGCTTCTTGGGGTTGAAGGGGCCATCGTTGGTTGTGGGTGGATTCACCTCGAGGTTGGTACTCTCTGCGTTTGATGTGATTATTGAAGGTGAAAGGGTCGTGGCAGTCGCCATCTTCACTCATAAGACGTTATGGTACACTGTGAACAGAGGGAACTATCTCAGGGCTCGATCTGCCTTGTCACTTCGCTCCTAGTCTAGGTCGACACTGGCATGGGGCAACGGAGTGCTAGCAGCTAAGGCTAGTAGCCTCATGGTCCCTGAGCTTGAGGGTTGACTGCCGCTTTATATCGTCCTGGGCACAGGAGCCGAACACGCACGCGGTTCCCGTAGCTGCTTTAGATCAGCCTGGTTTGGTTCAATGCCTCTGGGTATAACACTCCCCGTCTTAGTCTAGTGCATGCAATGGTGAGCTTCGCTGCTTCGATCTCTTTCAGTCCGAGTCCGAGGTCGCCAGGACTAGTAACAGGATACGCAGGATATGGGTTGCAGAACATGGCCCATGGCTTACGAGTTACCTGCCAGGGTGAGACCAGAAGTTGTAGTAGTGAGACGTGTATGTGCAGGGAGCGTGGCCCCGATTGTGCCGGGCGATTGTGAGCTTTTGCAGACTCGGAAACTATAATGTAATGATTCCAAGGTATGGTTGGAGCTTGCCTGCAGCTAGAGCATTCTCATATGTCATGTCACATTCCTAGTTGCCATCTAAGTCGTTTCCTTGACACTTCACGTCAGGATCGCCGTGGTAGCCTCGCTGCAACTAGGTCATGTGCCAGATCTTGGATGCTAGCTTCATCGCAGGAAAGGGATGACAACGGGCCGGTTCCGGAGACGAGCCGCCTCCACCTACTGCCACAGCATCAATCTCAATGATCTAGAGGAGTCTATCAACTTGGTCTGGCCCAATGCTACGGGTCCTGAACGCTACTGCAGTTCATCACACACAACTTCGCTGACAATACAACTGTCAAATACTGTTAGGTAAATTGAGCGAGGCAACTTAGGGTCTGGAAGGGCCCGAGATGTCACCAGGTTCCTCGGTTACGTCTCATGTCGAGGACGTGTAGATTCCAATGGACGGTACTACTATGCCTGCAGGGCTCGTGTTTTGTCACCGTTAAGTGAATCCTTTCGCATGAAAACAACTTCAGAGAAGGCTCGTCATCGGCATCCAAGCTCGAGCTGACCACAAGTGTTACTCACCCACAAGTGCTCAACAGTGAGCGTTCACGATAGGGTTAATGGTGTTCTACTTATATATAATACATCATGTATTACAGGACTCAGACGTCAGAAGGAACTGTATTTCCAGCTCGATTCTATGGTCGAGACACTCAGGGTCAGTTTAAGCACACGCCGAACAGCCCGCTGGACTGTGAGTGCCATAAATCTGGCCAGGTATGGGTTACCTGAATTGATGATTATTTATCTATCTTTAGTTTATCTTCATGTTGTGTCATTCAATCATTCATCGTGACAGTCACGCAGGATTTGAGCCCATGTTGTGACATGTCGTACCTACTGGTAGCATGGCAATAGGCTCAACGCCATCGAAGTGCGTGTTATCATGTTTCCACTGCATTGGGAGTTTTGACGATGGGCCGGTGTGGCAGGCGGCGGTGGGTGTAAACCTGTATTCCCCCGCGGGTTGGAGGTCGTTGAATGACAACTTAAATGTTTATGGGGTATGAACCTCGAAAGATTAGTTCATTCAGCATTAGTTAAAGAGCTACTCGAAGTGGTCTGAGGAGGCAGTTACAGTATCAATCAATGTGAGACATGGTAGACTAGAGCACCTACTGTAATCTTCAACCTGTGACTATACAATACAACTGGCTTGTGATCTTTGTCCCTAGGCGAACTTTGACAGAGAATGGAACGAAACTCCGACCCCTTTACAGCGCCGTTTTCGCAGCATTGTCCTCAACCTGAAACTACAGAAACATTGATCCATACACACCTGGGACATTTAGTACCCTATGTAAAGCCCGATATCACAATTTCACCTGTCAAAATCTGTCATCCCAACTCTGGCCGATCTGTCTCTGATTCCGTGCTAGAATTCGCCGGCTCCTCCGCCCGTTCTGGCGTAGTCTCCTGACCAACTGTCTCTTGTGGGCAATACGGGGAATAGCCCGGATTGTTGCGGCCCATAGTCTTTATGTCCGGGACCAGGGGATATGGAGGCGTACCTGTATAAATGCTCTGGGGAGGCGACGGCGAAAAGGTATCCGGTCCGGGAGGATACAAGCTAATTGGTGGCGATGGCCCTATGGTTGAACGTGGGGATGCTGCTATTATGGGGTGTAATGGGTATTGAGGTGTATAAGAACTCGGTTTTTGAGGTAGAGAATTGACGGGTGGTTGGGGTGCAGGATTTCCACCTGGGACACTGCCCTCATATGATCGAAAATGTTTTCGTATGTGATAGCCTGGGGAAATAAAGGAGGACGAGAATGAGGACGATTTTGGTCCTTTCGGGGCTGACATCTGCGGGATACCGTCGGGGACGGGCTGAAAGTACGGTGCTGGGCGTGTACTCTCACGTTCAGAATAGGACTCAGTATCTTGCTCACTATCTGCCACGATGTGACGAGCCCCAGAGACCGCGCGTGGTGGCCCGGATGGGGAAGGCGGGGGACGCGTTCCAGTAGACACTTCCCTTACCATCCCGTTGTCTCTTTCCACTGGCAGCTCGGGCACATTCCCGGGAGAGTTGACGACTGTGGCAACACTATCGAGGTGCATGACACGCTGATATTCGTTCAGCTCGCTCTCGATGGTTTTGCTTAACAGGTCCTGTATTTGCTTGCGCTGTTCTGTCGTTGCCGTCGATACAAATACGAAGCTGGCGGGGGCTTCAAGGTCGCTCGCCCGAGCTCCCTTGCCCAACAGACAAGCGACGGCCTCGACGTGGCCTCCGAAAGCCGCTCTCCTCAGTGGCTCCCGACCTTGGGCGTCAACCTCACGCACCGCGCCGCCATGCTGCAATAGGGCCTGGATTATCTGCACGTGGCCTCCACTGGCTGCGAGGCAGACTGGGGCATCTCCAACTCCCTTGACCGCCGCACCGCCTGTGAGCAAGTACTCGACGATCTCCGTGTGTCCAGCCAAACAAGCAATGGCAAGGGGTCTGACCCCTTATTATCCACGGCATCCACCCGAGCACCTCGGGCAACCAAGGCCTTTACAACTTTGAGCGCTCCATTCCCGACGGCGATGTGAAGGGGTGATTCGCCGGTAGCATTCTGAACATTGCATTGAGCCCCGGCACTCAGCAGCAGCGAGACTTCGCTGGCGGTAGCGTGTCGACATGCGTAGTGGAGTGGGCGGTCCTGCTTGTGGCACTCAGCTTCGATAGCTGCACCGGCATTTACGAGTTTCTCTATGGCGCCAAAGCTGCGACCCATGGCAGCCAGGTGTAGTGGAGTGCGCCCATTGATGCTTCGGGCATCCAGCTCGGCCTTTCTGCTCCCGATCAGGAGTCCAACCGCTTCTTCATGGCTCTTGTAGCTTGCCCAGTGGAGGGCTGTCAAATCGCCGGCGCTTCGGGCTCGAGGTGACGCCTTCCGATGTAGGAGCAGCTCCATGACGGCAGTAAGTCCCAAGCGTGCTGCCGCCGCTAGCGGAGTGAGGCCCTCCTCTTCCTGTGCCTCAATATCCGACTTGGCATCAATGAGGCTTTCCACAACCTGTGACCGGCCGAAAATGCAAGCAGAGTGAAGGGGTGTTCTCAGTTGGGAGTCTTTTGCGTCTTTGTTTGCCCCCAACTGCAAGAGGAGCGCTACGACTTCATCGTCGCCAATCTCACTAGCTGCGTGAAGTGGTGTCTTTTGTGCAACGTCAAGGCTGTCAACCATGGCTCGACGCTTGGTCAAGAGGCGAATGACATCCAGCTGCCCATGTTCGCAGGCCACCCTCAAAGGTGTTTTGCCTTGAGGCCCGCGAGCGTCAATATCAGCGCCCCGGTCAAGCAGCGAGTCGATGATATGGCAGTGTCCATTAGCCGCTGCAAGGTGAAGCGGTGAGAAGTTGTGCCTGTCCCTAGATCGAATCTTGGCGCCCTCAGTAATCAAAAGCTCTACGACATCGTTATGACCACAATGGCAGGCGACGGCAAGGGGCGTCCTCCCAGTTTGTCGATGCGGGGATTCGATGTCAGCCCTCCGACGGAGAAGCGATGCCATCTCGGCATGATCGCCTCTCTGGGCCGCAACAATGGCCTTCTGCGGCGGGCGGTCTCCATCGGATTGGAGATATATGTCGGTGGCTGCAAGTTCGCCGGGAAACCGAATGCTCAGCTGGGACCTTGGCGACATCGTGGCATCCTCCTTGCCCGACCAGTAGGCAGCGGATAGTTGAAGCCGACTAATACCCTGGAGGAGCGTTGGGGATGGTGACTTGGGTGAGTCGGTCGAAAGCGATGTGTTGGATGACAGAGACTTATTCAAGTACAAGAGGCTACTCCATTTCGAGCTCTGGTCGCTGGCTGGTGAGACAGGCGTGCGAGACCCGACGTAGCGCAACATCTCGAATGGCGCTGAGCGCTGCCAAGTTGGATCCGGTTCATTGCCGCTATTGTGGCTTGCTTCTGAAGGAACGACATTAGAAGCCATTGACGAGGCTGTGTCAGGCTCGACTCGATCCAATCTTCTCCCATTGCCTGATATTGACGCTGCGTCAGATGATATGGCGATTGAAGATTGCTGGGTGTCTCGAACGGTCGACTGTTCTCGTATGGTGCTCGTGTCGTCATGGATGCGCTGGAAGACTTTCCGAGTAGCTGTTTGCTGCAGAAGGCTGACTTGTTCTGAGAGGTTCAGGCTGAAGAAACACCGCTGTCAGTTCGGGGTCTGTGGTGTTCAGAGTTTAGACCAAGTACGAGTGGCCGGTGGCCCGCAAACACGGGACCGTAGCCGAGGCTGCTGACTCGGAGCGACGGGAGCAGCTCCAGCCAGTGCAGCACGAATGGCTAAATGCCCTCGGGCTCTCCCTGGACTTGAAGGTCAAGACGCACCAGTGGGCTGCACTCAAGAGCAGGTGTAGAGCCACGATCTTGGAATCGAGACGCGCTTCGTGATCCTTGATCGTAGACTCCATGAAGAACTGTTTGACGCGCGAAGCGATGGAATCACCATGACCAAGCAGCCCCGCAACATCACAATCGAGGGCATCGATGATGACCTGGCAGCCTTCCATGGCCACACCGAGGCTGTCACGCATTTCTTCGCCATTGGGACTTGTAAACGGGCTAGTTTTGGCTCAATCGCTGATTTGAGACAGGGTGGCCCGAATGTTGAGAGTTTCGTGACCAGGAGCTGGAGTGACTGTGCACCTTCTGACCATCGATCCTTCAGGGCAATGAGGTTAGACGTAACACGGGTGATGAGCGTCGCGAGTTGGGCGCAAGCGGCGGCGGCGCCGAATATCGTGAGAGGATCCATGGCCACACATGACAGCATACACGGGGGAAGGAGGAAGAGAAACAAAGGCGATTTTAGCGATTTCAGCGCGGCGCCCGCCAAGTGGTCCAGAATGAACTGGTCGTTCAGCTCCGATGGCATGCATTTGGTCCGACAAGTTAGCCTCAAGACTCCGAGAGCCCTGCCTGGGGCAACGTTAGACTCTAGTATGGCAGCTAGGCAAAGATAATCTCCGTCGAGGTGAAAGGATGCAGGTCAGGCTCACGATGCAATCTCCACAACAAAATGCACAGCGCTTGTGTCAAGTGCCACAAGGATAGGGAAGCTACGATGGAGTGAAGTATCCAGTCGGCCAGTTCAACGGAATCTAATTGCCACAACGATAGGATGGTACGATAGGGACAAGCATTCAAATGATGTACTTCGACAGTTGAATCGAACTTGGAAGCCAAAGATGTAGGAAAGAGGAAGACGAAGACTCCCCTGCAAGTAAGGCAGAGATATATTTCTCACAGATAAGTACCTTAGCCCGGAACGCCTCAAAGAGGCTGTCAGGGGCTAGCGGCAGCTGAATCAACCAGGTTCAGAGGAACCTTCCGCAGGTGCTCAGTAGACACCTAAGATACCGCATATACTTATTCGTTAGGAAACTGCGCTAAACCTATTTACAATTAGCGACCTTGGGATTCTGCGCGACCGCACTGCCAAGCTCTCCCTGGCTCTCAGAAAAGTCTCGGTTTCAATTCGAAAAAGGCGATCAAAAGTGTAGCGTCGATTCTAGCGCAGTTTCCTATCGAGTGAGTATTTGCGGTATTGTGCCTGGGACATGACGATATGGAAGGTACCTGACGAGATGGATGGAGGAGCTAAGGGATTCCAGGTTGGCAATCAGGACAGCGAGAACGACGAGTACGGTCGCTCTGACCTTACTGTATACTTCTCATGTCTACCGGGCATGATTACCAGTGTCCAGTTCTATTGCAGCGATTGCAAATGAATGCGCTATCTTAACGACTTTGCTTGTCGGCCGAACGATGGAAAATCAGTGTCCTGCAACTTAGGTACCTTATCTGCATGCTTGCAGGCGTCTACTTTCGTTGCGCTCTTAGACATGTCACTACATGCATTTCGCCAGCATGACTACCTAGGTACCTAGGGAAGGTAGGAGGAAACGCAATAATATTTCTGAAGGGAGACAGTTATAATAGACAAGAATGAGAGCCCGCTCAGAAGATTTGCTAATTGAGAGTTTTAACTGCAAATGCAGCATGGAAACAACGTGGTTGAAGGTTGCATAATGCTCGAACTTGAAGCCCCTTTACCGTTTACGTCATGATCATCATCCCGCACTCGCTCCATGATTTATCTGGCGAACACTGCACTTACATCCCATCCCGTCTCCTTCCTACATAAACAAACCGCTCCTCATCGTCTTTAAAATCTAAATACTGATCAACCTGCATCATCCATATCCAGATACCTCGACTTAGTTACATTTACGACTTAGTGATAAGTTCCGAACCTGCGCAAAGCCCGAGACAAACATGCCCTCACCACAAGATTACTCCCAAGACGAGAAGTTCCACCACGAAGGCGGCATGCCCTCGGCTCTAGGACACGGCGTGCGTGGCGGCGAACCAACCACGGAGCGCGAGCGGCAGGCCACGGGGTACGCTGTGGCTGGTAACGAATCTGGTCAAGTAAGACAGAACGACAGTGTCGACGCGGACCAGCAGCTTGAGACGTTTGCTGAGGGCGACGTGGCAAGGGCCGTGGCCAAAAAGTCTGGGGCGCAGAGATATCAGTACAATGATGAGAACGATACCAGTCAGTCCGGTGATCTTCAGCTTGAGAGTCTGCATGGAAGGGGAAGGGGCGAGGTGTCGCTTGAGGCGAACGAGGCGGATCTGGAGAGGCGAGTTTTTCTTATTTCGTTTCGTGACATAGTAAGGTCCCTAATTGAGAGTGAAAAGTGCTGACATGGTTCGCACAGAAAAAAGGCACAGCAGTCGGTGGCTAGGGAGCAAATCAAGGATGCGCGGAAGATGGGCGTCGATGTGGACGGTCGGGGGCAGACCGGGCCGAGCGGGAGACAGCCGAGGGCGGAGATTGATTAACAGCGAGGCCGTCATCTTTTGTGCTAGGGTTGGAGCATGGGTGAGCGTTGGTGGTTAGGTATTATTAACTTGCGATACTCGTAACGATGCAGAATAGACACTACTAGGGGTACTATGTACAGGTTTGTTTCCAATGCATGCTTATCCAACCTAGAACCAAGGGTTCGGGATGCTCGTCTCCAACACAGTGCCGTTGCCAAGCACAGTGCCATTCCGCAAGATCTCAACCCGTCCAAGATGGAGCGTCGGCGGCGGGTTGTTGATGGTCGTGCCGTTGGCAAAGATGATGCCGTTCCAGGACGTTTCAAGGCGCTGTTGGTCTTCCTCCGTGCCCATGCCGCGACTTCTAAGCAGCGGGGACTTTTTACCATGGACATCACAGTTCTCACTGACCATGTACAAGTTCAAACCAACCGCCAGGGTGTACAACTCGGCGCTGAGCTGGTCCCAGCCCCACTGGTCCCGCTGCTGCACGCCGATGTAGTCGACCATGAGCACGTTGGGCCAGTGCTCCGGATCCATGCCGTTGACGCCGGCCCAGTACAGCGAGGGGTTGGTCGGCTGGATGGCATAGGCTTGGAGCGACAGGACCGTCGAGGCCACGGCGTCCGGCGTCACCAGCCACTGCGCAATGTGCAGATTGCCGTAGTCCGAGCCGCCGCCGCGGTTGAATGACCTCCATTTCGCGATCTGGTCCGGAGCCATGGCGTCGGCAGTCTGCTTGTTGGACCAGTGGTCTTGAATACCGATGCGCCTGATGTGGTAGATGCCGTCGCCGAATGACTCCTTGGGAACGTCGCCGGGGAGCTGGCCATTGAGCAGCAGAATGACACAGCCCTTGCCCTCGTTCTGGTCCATGAAATAAGACGCCTTTTGGTTTTCAAATCCGGTGCTGGTGTCCAGGTTGAGGCAGCGGTTGTTGATGGCCCGGAGCTTGGAGAAGAAGTCGTTGACCATGGCCGTGTTCCACATGATGGGGCCGCGGTCTGGGAACTCGTACCTCCCAACGAGGTAGCGGATGCTGAAGAAGATGATCTCGCCTGGGTTCTCGCTCGTGAACCGGTTGACCTCGCTGATGACGTCGTCCAGGGACTCACCCGAGTTTCCGATGGCAAGCGTGGCCAGCTCGTCATTGACGTGCAGCACCCAGAACCCGTTGTACCGTCCGGCGTTGTCGTTGGGGTGGATGGAGCCAATGCGGAGATCGAACCAGCGGGATCCTGCGCGGAGCTGGTCGTAGATGTTGATGCCCTGGTTCTGTGTGTTGGTTTCGCTGCCGATGCTGGTGATCTTGTCCGTGATCCGGCTCATGCCCGAGTCGTGGGTGCCGGGCATGACCAGGTGCCGGACTTTGCGGTCTCGGATCACGTTGTACATTCGGCGCATCCAGTTGCCGGGGCCGTGCCGCAGCGATGCCTGGAAGCCAAAGCGGTTGCTGCCCGTGATGACCAGAGACACCGATGTCTCCGCGCCTGGGAACACGTACTCGCGCTGGCCGAGCCCCATGCCGCTGAGATCCAGGACAACGCGGCGCGGAGCGGAATTTGGGATGTATGACTTGAGCCTCAGAGCGAAGGTCTTATCGGTGCCGTCAATACGGTAGTAGGCCTCGCCGGCGTCGTCCCCCGTAGCCCAAGTGCCGCGGTACTTGACCCTGTTCTGGCGTGCCCGCCCCTGAGGGACATCGCCAAAGTCGAATATGTCCATCTGGTACGAGTGCGTGTTCTCCAGCCGGATGCGGTGCGGCGTGAGGTTCACCACCGTGACGTAGAACCTGGTGCTCACCGCACCCGACACGGGGTTCATCTTGTCGGCGGGCTGGTGGCTGCCTCCTGGCATGGGCTCGGTGCTGAATGTGCGGTCTCGCACACGGCACACGTCGGTTTGCCCGCTCACCAGGAGCCATGCATAACTGGCCAGAATGGCCAGGGACCCGAGCCCCTTCATGGCTGATTGAAAATACCAAACAGTACCCAAAAAAGACGGTATAAGGGGTAGAACTTGATGAGGAGAGACCCGACACAATGCGTTGGCGCTCTTGCCAGCCGAAAGTCAGGGTTAAGAACTAATTCATCAGTTTTTGGAAAGAACGACTGCCGTGGGAAAGCCAGCTCCTTCCTCTGCTCGCCCCGTCTGCATCCGCAATTGGGAGTTTGTCGTTGAAGGTTACTTCAACCTTGACTGATCATCGGCCAGGGGCTCGGCCAGGGCTAGCTTGGGTATTGGACTACCCTCATCTTGAGAGGGCGAACATGGTTGATATATAGGATGTATCCAATGACCCCCTCCTCCTTGGCTTCATGTTCATGTTGATGGTAAGTTCCAATCCAATGCGAGAATGTCAATGTGCCATGTTCCCCCCTTTTTCCCTCTGTTGGGCATTTCGTTCAGGAAGTTGGATCCTGCCTTGTCCAATCAGTGGTGTTCTCGCACCCATGCCCTGTGGCGTCAACCCCGCGACCCCTGAACGACCCTGAGATCTCTGTTGCTGTAACGTTAATGGCTGCCTCTCAACACAATCATGAGCGCTTATCCCTGTGTAGACGGCCTTGGGTCACCAGACTTGGCCAGTTCCGGCAGCCAGCTGGACGCAACCACCGCATGCCATGTCCACACTTCGACATAAACCCGAGACACCATTTAAGGCAGGTGAGCTGTGTCCAGTCGCATTTTCCCGCCATTTTGCCGTGGATCGACTGGCTACCTATATGAATGCTGTTAAGATGAAGAACTTCTCAAAGTTCGAGTGGGAGATATCGGCCCGGTACTAGTGATGATTGGGTCAGTGGCCCCTTTTGCCACTTCTCCATATGGAAATGGAATGATGCCCGTCTCTTCATTCGGCAGTGTCAAAGGACACACGAGGCACTTGAGGATTAGGCCGGCCCGATCCTTCGACCCCACGAAACCCAACCCATCGACTCTGCGGCCGCCCACTCCGGCTGCTTACATCAGATCTCGGCCGCTTCCGTCGTACAGTTGAGTGACGAACTCCGGAGCCTTCAACCATGGAATATGCTGTCTTGAGCCGTGAATATTTGAAGGTTCATTCACCCTCGTTTGATGATACTCGACCGTCACTTCTCACAGAACAGTTCGGCCGAGTGAGCTCAAGCCTCAAGGTAACTGAAGTGACCATTCGATAATATTGGTCGCAAAAGATATCTCTACAAGAGGTCGGACAGTCATGAGCTCATTATGGTGCTCACATCAGACCAGTAATAGTTTACTGCTATAGACTTCACCACCAAATCTGGGTGTTCTCGCATCAATATTGACAACACAGAATACAACAAGCCGTGATATCATACAACTGCGAATATGTCCGAGTCATGATAAACTGCCCTTTCCTGATATTTGTACTCCGTAATGCAATCATTCAGACAACCTAAGCTGTGATCCAATAATGGGACTAGGTAGTTATGACAACACCTTAGAGTCAGGAACACCTACTAATAGTTGAGCTCACTAGACTTACAATTCACCACCACTTAATAGTCTTTTGGACCTACCCCTGATTCCGCATTGTCCGCGACGGCCTGCCATGCGAAATAGTTAGAGAAGACCCTGACGATCCCTCGCGCTATCACAGAATGGGCAAAAGGATCAACAAGCAATTCGGCTCGGACCGCGGCCGGCGGGGCACATCGACGTCTCCTTGAACCTTTTCGAGCAGGACATTCCCTGCTGGTCAGTGCGGAGTATCGTTCCTAGGCCAAGAGACGACTCGACCGTCAGAAGTTGGGTGCCGTGTTCTCGAGGCGAACCGTGGTGTGACCGTGACGCGCGCGTGGTGTCATCAGACCACTCATTGCCGCACGAACTCCCTGGCACCAGAAAAACATGCCGTAGAGCCCGAGACATAAAACTGCGTCAGACCTCCATAGGCACGCGGATATTCTGTATGACGTGCATCCTGCACTTCGGTGAGAAACAACAAAATGGCAGGTAACTTGACGAGTCCCATGGTCACTCTGTCACCCCCGTCCCAGTTCCTGGCTGGATGTCCCAAATTCCGCATCCTGGTGCTGGGCAACCCTGAATCGACCAAACAGGAACTGTTCTCGAGGATATTCGGCGTCGATCTCGAAAAGGTATGGTTGTTGGTGGTTGTAATTACCTTGCATCACTCTTGCGAGCCCCTGAAGCCTCTGGCTGAGTCTGGAACGTCACTGTTTTTACCCTAAGCAGTAGCACTGACCCGGACAACCCATAGAAGCTCGTCGACGATGCATTCAACGGAAGCCAGAGCATCGAGCAAGAGCTCGACTTGCACGGCCAGAACGAGCGACTGGCTATCCATACGTCGCCCAACTTTTGGGCCGACGATGAGCACGTGTACGACCAAGTCTGCAACTTCCTCGTCTCGCGCTCGACCCCTTCCACAAGACTCGAGGACCGTGTACACTGCATATGGTACTGCGTGGCGAGCGAGGTCGGACGGCCGGTAGGGCAGCTCGAGCGGCGTTTCTTCAACGAGGCGCTGGGCTCGTTGGCATCTAATGTCCCCGCCGTCCTCGTCTTCACCAAGTACAACGAGTTTGTAAGTCAGGTCCGGCTCGACTGGTCGCATGGCGCGCAGTCGTACGGGCAGTCCAAGGTGGTCGTGTCCCACATCCTCCGAGATCTGTCGTCGGAGAAGTTTGAGAAGCAGATAGGAAGGAAATGGGCCGACGCGCTGGGCGATAGCAACGGGAGGATAATACCTCGCGTCTGCGTCTCGGATGATGACGAGAGTAGCTTCCTGGCGCTTGCCGAGACGACGCTGGCAGGGCTGCGGCAGAGATGGGTCCGGCTTGCCTTTGCTGCAGCCCAGCGGAACTCGGCTTCGATATCCACTCAATGTGAGTTTCAATTCACCTCCCCCAAGCTTACCACCACTGTGATCACCATGGCCTGACACGCTCAACCCCTTGCCAACCAGTCTGCGCCGACACGGCAGCAACCGAGTACTTCTCCGTCGACACGGGCCACGCGCGCAAGCTGCACGGGGTCGACATGGGCGACATCCTACCCAACTTCTTCGCCAAAGCCGTGCAGCTGTTCAACATGCGCGACACGGCGGCGACATTGGTCGCACCGTCCCTTTTGGGCCGAGTCTTGGACGCGACATTCGACGCGTCGCAGCAGAAGCCGCTGCTAGCCGAGTGCCTGGGGCCGCGCAGCGGGGTGGAGGTCGGCGAGCCAAGGTCTCAAAACACCCTGCTGATGAGCCTGAGCCCGCATGAGCGCGCGGTGCTTTTGGCGCAGGCAGTGGCCGGGATCGTGTTGTTCCTGCGCCGGCTGGCCAGCTCGCAGTGGGCGCACAAGGACTACGCCGTGACGCTGACGGAGGGCGCGGTGGTGCGCGCGCTGGACGAGATTTGGAGGATGGGCCGCGACAAGACGAGCCGGTTGCTTGAGACTATTGAGGCTAGCACCATATTCACGATGTGTCCGTTGAAGAAGGCGATCGCCGACTTGATTGCGCGGGCGGTTGAGAATGCGGATGGGACTTCCAAGCCGGACCATCACCGGGGTGCGCCTAGGACGATCATTGTTGAGGATGAATCGGACTCGCACGAGATTTCCTTGAGCTTTGTCAATGACAAGGGCCCTGAAGACGTTGTCCTGCCCTGTGGCCTGACGATATTGCCGTTGAACTGAGGCCTCATAGGAACTGTTGTGTTGCGGGTATAGATAGATACCTTACCCGACAACAGACGAGTGGTATAATTCGGAAATCGAAAGGGGCAAAATTTTTTCTGAGTTGGTTTCTCCTCGCAAGAAACAAGGCATCTTGGTTGATACGGCAAAAAGGTCTCTCCCGCCGGGAATTGAACCCGGGTCTCGAGCGATGTCAGCTTCAGGTGACAAGCTCACATACTGACCACTATACTACGGAAGATTTACTGGTGTGAGCACCAGTCGTAGTGCGCATGGTTGCCGGACTGTCGGGACTTAGTTTCTATAAGGTGATACCGTGCTTTCCGCTCGTGACTCTTCAGCTGTGCCATCGTCTTGCAGGAGGCAACCGTTTCACTCCTGTAGCTGAACAGCCTGGTGAAGGCAAGCACTCGAGTTGTTTGCTGCGAGTGAGATCGGTTATTAGCGCCGCCCCCACCTCCCGGCTACCCGATGACGAAGACCTACCGTAGAGGCTGTGTTGTGTCTTCCAGGATGGGATTAGGGGTCTGCCTGAATCTATAAGCTGCAGCCGCCTGCTTCTCTGCTCCTTCTCTAGTAATTTCTACTGGTAACCAAGACGGCGGCTCGATGAGACAATACATGTACAGGAATCACTCAAGTCGGAAGTCATGATCGATGGATTTCGCAATGAGTCAGCCAAAAGAACCGTTTCGACAAGCTTCCACCACAATCTCCCAACACGAACTCAATGGCGATTTGGGAGACATTGCGACGGACCCAAAAACCTCCTCACAAACCCACATTGAGATTGGTGACGATCAAGGCGACCGCGAAAATAGCGCCCAGTCCACGGGTCATATCAACAGTATCGATTCAGGGCTATCTCTGGCTTCACGGGAGACGTACACGGAAATCCCCCAGCTCGATGACGACGAGAGAGGGCGTGGGAATCGAATTGAGTCTGCCGATCCTCCCGAAAAGGGGTCGAAGCCATCCCGCCAGACCTGTGTTGAAGTCTCAGAAGTCGACAACGATTTAGGCGACCATGAGCATGATATCGAGGCGACTGGCGATTCCGACTCGGACAACGTGAAGAAGTCAAAGCCAAAAGATGCCACCCAACCTACTACACCGCTCTTAGGTCCCCTACCACCAAGCATATCGCACCCAGCCGATGGTGAGCCCATTCTTCTTGGAACCAGTGCACGCCTTTGGACATCACTGGTGCACCTGTTGCCTTTGGCCATGTCCGTGGCGCTTGTTACCATCAACTTCAAGCGGGTCTACTGGTTTGATGAGTCTTGGAGTCCCCCAAAATCCAATCCACGTGAAACCGACTATATTACGGTGGATGGCATTAGGAATGGTCTCCAGCTTGTTGCCAAAGTGCACGAGTTGCTGGTTGTGGCCTCGCTTGGCGCTCTCACATTGAAGATGTTCAAACGACGTCTTGTTGGCTCACGTCTTCCGTTTGGTTTGTTGACGGGCGCCTACCGGGTCGGCGATATTCCGTACGCTTTCAGCGGGCCATTTTGGCGCGCCATTGGGAGCGGTGCTTGGTGGTCCTTGGGCCTTATCCTCTTCGTCAACACCATGATAGCTACACTCGTCGGCCCGTCCTCGGCTATCCTGTTGGTTCCTGAGCTCGACTGGTATCCGCTTCCCGGTCCTTTTCGCAACTTTCAGTCACCTGTTTTCTATGATCTCGCTCCAAACAGGACTCGGCCGCGTGTGGTTCACGAAGCTCTCTTGGAGAAAGACCACGACTTCGACTCGTGCAATGGTTTCAAAGGCTGGTATGCCTTCTGGTGTCCTGCGGGCGGCTACTCGGACCTGTGGAATTGGGTCCAAGGATGGAAGAGTTCGGATCTTGGGAGAGACCTACTTCTGCAGGACCCTACGAACGAGGTGATGCGCCAACTCTCCGTCAGAACCATGGGTGGGATGGGTTTGAGTGGCGCCATTGTGACCACAATTTCGGTACCACCGCTTCTTTCCATTGGCCGCCTTCTGGCTTATATCAAAGATCCACGCAATGACGCCGGCACTATCCACGATGCCTCAAGATTCAGGTTATCAACGTCAAGCGAGTCGCAAATTTTCCAGCCACTTGTCCAGACGTATTGTACCGTGTACGATGATGACGATTTGAGAGCCGGCCATGCTGTAATCAATGTTTCGGATACGCTAGGGAATCTGCACCTGAATTGTCTGGGTGATTCCAACTGTGAGAATATGCTCATGGGAGACGAACTTATACCCGTTCCCCCAGATATTTGGTAAGAGGTACCCTAATCAACCCGGGTAGCATACCTGCGCCTCGTGCCGCGCTGCAATTGCCCTCCGAAAGGATAAATTCACTAACAGGCTCCTGGCGGTTTTCTAGGAGCCCAAGGATTTATCTGAAGAAGTACCGATTGCCGGAAGGGTCTTCCTGTCCGGACCAAACGCCACCGAAACTCACCCCATGCTAGCATCGGTTGCATTTCCCAAATTCGTCTACCGCAATGGAAGTGACCGCAGACTTGGAGTCGGAGCCAGAATCTATGCTTGCACCATCATAGCTCACTGGATACCCGCGTCTCTCTCTATATCGCCCAGGGAGAGCAATATTGTTCGAAGCAATGTCACGGATTATCTTCTAAATATCCCGGCGGTCAACAAACTATACCTCAATGGGCTCCACGGCTCAACGATCAGTGGGCTCCAGGGCCCAGCGATTAGAATGGAGCATGACTGGGCTAAGTACCTGATGGCGATGATGAATGTAACGGAGGACCGCGACAAATGGACGACTGGAGAAACCACAGCGATTGGGAATATATTCGAGGAACTGATGACACGTTACAGATATAGTACAGTAAACGAGACGCTGAGGGTCTACCAATATGACCCTACTCTTCGTTTTGGGGGTGACCCCAACATGAACGGCGGCCTCAGAAGCAAACAGTATATCGAAAAGATTCTCGGTGTGATCGTGGCCGACGGGCTGGCACGTGTTTCATCAACCCGTGGCAGTTTCGCGGTGCGTTCGTACAACGATACTTCCGTTACTATGGCCAACTTGGGAGCGCCATTAGAGGGTGATCTGGTATATTGGTGGAAGAACGGCACTCCTTACTATAATGTCTCGACGGGTAGTTGGAATGCCACAACCGATAATCTTGAATTTGGCAAGAACCCGCAAGAAGTCCTCGACAACGTGGCGCAGCGAACACGCTTTGTTTTCGAGGCCGAACGGTACGGCTACGGCTCTGGAAAGCGCGGGGGGACCTTGACGTTTGCGCTCGCCGTCATGTACGTCTACTTCATCATCCTCGGCGCCTACTTTGTCTACGTTATGCTGCTGTCGCGGCTCTGGTTTAAGGAGCCGGTCCCTACAATCGTCGCATGGGATGATATTGCAAATCTTGTGTTGCTGGCGTGGAATTCGAAACCACCCACCAACTCGCTACTCAGTCGGTCGAGTGTGGAATCCAAGAATGGCAGAAAGTGGATGAATGGAGTCGGGATAATGGCGGACGATACCGGCCGAGCGCATCTGACGACTACCTCTTCAGGGCTCCAGAGGTTGAAGAGGGGCTTCTCTTACCACTGAAGGCAAAAAAGGGGGTGGGAGTTTTGTATGGCCTTGAAGGAATCGAGTTTGGATACTACATACGGTAGCTTGGAAACCCGACATACATTTACATGTGGACTCCCCTGCACCGAGACACTAGACACTAGATTCGAAGGATCTCCTCTGCTGGGACATTTGCTAGAGAATGAGATAGTGGCATCAAGAGATTCCATCGCTGACCGCAGTCGCCTTGAGCTAAGATTTCCAGTGCAAGCAGCATACAGACCATCTCCACGCTCAAGGCAATTGTAGGCTGCCCTCAACAGCACTCGAGCGACTCAAAACGCCAGGGTTTTCCTTAGCGCCCAGGCCAGATGACAGTACCTGCCCTCAGGAGTCTGGATCCCGCTCTGCCCAAAACGAAAGACATCTTAAAACCTACAATGGTTGAGCTATCAAACTGTATCGACGATGGCATTCGATGCTTGTTCGTCAGCTATCAAACATCCAAGCACCTGCACCCTTCCCTATCCAACCGCTTGCACGCGCTACGACGCCATGGCAACCACCAGCCTGGGCAGGTAGCCGGTGCGCTTATGCTGGATACACTTAGCACAACTAGAACGCTTATAACCAAAATCCCGCTTCCACCAATTCCCCTGCACAACAACCTCCTATCCTCACACAAAACATGTCATAGGTACGCAGAACAAGTCACTCACCCCACAATCTATCACAGCACGGCCCACCCGAGCAGCTCACCCCGCGGCACCGGCTGCTGATCACCCACTTACTCATCTACCCTTCCTGTTAGCAAAGCGAACGAGCCTTGATCAAGCCCAGGCGCCGACAAGGCTCATGCAGACGGCGCCGAACAGCACAAGGAGGCACGCAACAACACGCTTGCGGCCGCGCAGGACGCCCCAGCTGTGGTCGCTGAGAAAGTCCTCGGCGAGCAGTTCGATCAGGGCGGCAAAGACAAGCAGCCCGGACGAGACGGCGTTCATGGTGCCTACGAGGATCAGGCCAAACTCCGAGTCTGGGCTGTACAGTGTGTGAGTGGCCAGGCCGATTGCTTGGCCTATTGGTGTACTGTTCGGACAATGGTATTAATGACTGGGGGGAAAAAAAGGAGGTGGGTTGGGGTGGTGG